AGAGACAACTCGAATACAAACAATTAAATGACACACATTTAAAGAATATTATTCATGAATTAGAATTTCGCGACGATGATAAATTTATTTTAATTGATGGTTTACTCTACCGTAAAGGAGATAAACGTAATCTGTTCGTGGTACCAGAAGTCATGACGACAAATGTAATACGAGCGCACCATGACGAGATGGCTCATTGTGGTTATGATAAGACGTTACACGGATTATCGCGTACTTATTGGTTCCCGTCAATGCGAAAGAAAATTGCAGATCACATAGATAATTGTATAGTATGTCTGACATCGAATTTCTCTTCACATTCGCGTGAAGGCGAGATGCATTTAGCGCCGTCTTCAACTGCTCCATTTGAAACGTTACATTTAGACCATTTCGGTCCGTTACAGCCAACCAGTGGAAATTATCGTCACATTCTAGTGATAGTAGATGCATGTACACGCTTCACGTGGCTCGTAGCAGTTAAAACTACCAAATCAAAGGAGGTCAATCGTCACCTCAAACTTTTGTTCGATACTTTCGGAAATCCAAAGACACTAGTTTCCGATCGCGGATCAGCTTTTACTTCAAATGAATTTCAACATTTTGTACAGTCGATGGGAATAACACATCGATTAGTGGCTGTAGCTTCACCATGGTCAAATGGAATAGTAGAGAGAGTCAATCGTTTTATTAAAACTTCTCTCAGAAAAATTGTCGAATCTCCAGACGACTGGAAAAAGTGCATACCAAGAACGCAATACATAATTAACAATACATGGCATAAAGGCATTAACAATACGCCATCAAAATTACTCTTTGGTTACGACCAACGGAATCACATGGATGCACCTCTTTCAGAATTCGTCAACGAATTAGCAAGGATAGATACAGATCTTGAGTTAGAAAGAAGTAAGGATCGAAATTTAGCTATCGAAACTAATGAAAAACTAAAACCGTATAATAAACAGTACTTTGATAAACGGCATGTCACACCTACCGTTTACAAATTAAAAGATCTAGTGATGATCAGAAACTTACATGCTAAAGTAGGACAAAATTCTAAATTCGACCCTCCTTATAAAGGGCCGTATCAGATAGCTAAAATACTGGATTTCGATCGATACTTGATTCAAGATGTACCAGGATTTAACCTGTCGGCAAAACCTTATACAGCGGTACTGTCGACCGACAAGTTGAAACCTTGGATACGCCCAGTATGCGAAACTGGCAGTTAGAGATAAAACTTAAAAAATAAGTAATTGTATTTCATAATTGAATAATGGTCTGAATTTTTATATTACATGTGTATACTTCTACGTCGTGCAATGATTGAATTGCAAATTAAATTTTTGGTTTTCTTTTGGTTATAATTAATTATTTCAGGCGTAGATGTTAGCAGAAAAAAAAAAAAACAATTTATTCGAGGCCGAATAAAGCGCAGAATGGCCGACTGTAAGAAAGTTCCAGAATCACATCGAATATTCTAGAGCTTTCGACTTGGTTCTTCCTCCCGCGAGCTGCTGACATCTGTCACAGCGCTCTGTTGCTCCAGAGCGAATCGGAGCACGCGACGTCACCGCGCACGCCACATGCGTAAGAGATCTCAAGAGAGAATAAAGGATCTCGGAGTACGTCTCACGGCACGAGATGTTCGGTAGATTTCGAGATAGATTTATCTAATATTCGATCACCAAAAAGAACTCCGTCGTTGGTACGCTAAAGTACATTAATATTGTATCAATTTGGTTTTGTGTTAATAAAGTCAGTGATCGGGTTTATTATACCGTGACTGTTTATTACGAATTCCTTCCAGATACTCCTTTATTATTCCTCTCAAGGATTTCCCTGACAATTATATAAAGATCTCACAGTCTCAGAAGTGGAATCTTACATTATCATACTCAAATCTTACAATAGATGAATCATATATCAACATACGCACACCTATACATAAAATTAAATCAACATACACAAATAGTTCCGAAGAACCACTTAACCGAGGTGGACGTGTTCCCTCTCGTCTGGGTGTTGCGTCACCTCGACTATATTTTTGAAAAGCGTTGCCGGCTTGGACTGTGCCGTTATATTCAATTTCGATAGTCCCTTTATCCGTCTTGGCGTGCGGCCGTGCGTCGTGGAAGCGTCGTAGTCGCAGACGTCCAGTGTTTGAAGGGGCGCCCCAACATTTTGATTGCATCATCCTTTATTTTACCTGCCCGGTTCGAGGTGGCCGGTGCATAGCACTCCTATTCACGATTAGCTTCAATTTACGCAGACCTCAATGGCTTAGTCACAATCTTGGTTGCCTGGTCAAAATCAGAAGAAGAAGAAGAAGAACATACACAAATAGACATGATCTGACATCTGTTACATTGCAAGCAATTTGTGATCATAACAACAGGTTTTTAGATGTATTTACTGGAATACCTGGAAAAATACATGATGCTTGCGTTTTTACATTTTCTGGCATAAAAGAGGAGCTCCCATATATTTGTGAGAAAAAATATCATATTCTTGGTGACGGAGCATATGCTATTAGACCATGGTTACTTGTACCATATAAGGAAACAACTTTAAATTGTAGTCAAAATAATTATAATAAGAAATTCTGTGCAACCAGAGTAAAAATTGATAACACTTATGGTATTTTCAAAGGTCGTTTCCGACAACTTTTAAAATTAGATATGCATAAAATAGAAAAAATTAGTAGATACATTCTTGCACTTTGCGTTCTACATAATTTATGTATAGACATGAATGATTTAATTAGTGATAAAGACTATATTCAAAAAGAAAATATCAATTGGGAATTAGAGAGGGAGGATGATATCCAATCCCGAGCAGCAGGAGAAGCTAAAAGAAATACCATAAAGGATAGCCTGTTCTTATTTGAATAATGACACTATTAATAAGTAAATAAGTTATTGTAATAGTATATAAGGTAGGAATCATATAAATATCTGTGTGTGAATTCTTTTATTTTTAATTAAAAATATTGAACCGCCTTTACAATATACAGTGATGGGAGAAAGTTCGGCAACGGTCAAATATCTTGGAAAATAATGCTTATGGAAAAAAATGTTCAATACAAAAGTTTTAGTATATCAAGTGGTCTATTATATGGTTATGTTGAAATGACCTTCATGTGACCTTGAAGGACACCGTGAAGGTCAACTTTGAAATCTTAAATGGAAATACCTATTTTCTTTTACATATCCTTAAAGCTGGTGTCAAGACGTTTCCGAAACACTGGTTACAAACCCTTTTTGCTTGAGATCTTCCTGAGTTACGAACCTTTAAAGTTTAAGTATCGCCGGCGCGTTATCTAAGGTATGCGCGCGCGCGCGCGCACACACACACACGCACACACACACACGCGCGCGCGCGCGCGCACGCACGCGCGCACGCACGCACGCACACACACACACAAACGCGCGCGCACAAGACTCACTTTGATCAAGCATCTCGAAGAGGTGGATATCCGACCGTGCCACCTCCACGCAGTATACCTTAGATAACGCGCCGGCGATACTTAAACTTTAAAGGTTCGTAACTCAGGAAGATCTCAAGCAAAAAGGGTTTGTAACCAGTGTTTCGGAAACGTCTTGACACCAGCTTTAAGGATATGTAAAAGAAAATAGGTATTTCCATTTAAGATTTCAAAGTTGACCTTCACGGTGTCCTTCAAGGTCACATGAAGGTCATTTCAACATAACCATATAATAGACCACTTGATATACTAAAACTTTTGTATTGAACATTTTTTTCCATAAGCATTATTTTCCAAGATATTTGACCGTTGCCGAACTTTCTCCCATCACTGTATAAATATTGCACAATAGGTTACACTGAAATAAAAAAAATTATAATACAAACTAAAATACATAGTATAAATACGTAAATAATTTGTACTCCATTTATAACAAAATAAAAGTATTTCAATAAGAGTATTTCAAGAAATACTCTTCATTTATAACAAAATAAAAGTAACTCTTAATGACTTAGAATGAAAATAATAAGCCTTCAGTATTTAATTTGTAATAAAGATAATTTTTTTTGTGTAATTTGAAACAAAAATGAACTTTTTGTGTAAGCTTAAAAAAATATACATATTACATTTAATGTCCTATACGTAAATCTTTGTACAAAAGGAACTCATAAACTTTAAAAAAATAGGAACACACGTTACATATCTTTCTTAAAAAGTTCTTTAATTAATTGTAATTTTTCTTGGTGACGTCATTCTTTGCTTTCCTCTTTTGATCGATGTAATTCTAATAATGTTTCTTGAATTGATTTCTTTATATTTTCTTTTGTCTCCTTTTCATTACTTCTTTTTAGGGAAATTGCAACAATTTTATTCTCTGGCATCATTTTCACTCCTTTTGAGAAACAAATCTTTTCTCCATTGTTACTTTTTAGAAAAGGTGCAACAATTTTATTCTCTGGCATAATTTTTACTTTTTTTGACAAAGGACTAAGCTGCAAGCTGCTGGATGCATTATGATTTTTTAGTATTCTTGTGTTATGAATGTTCATTAATATCTCCGGCTTAAAGGCTTGTGTCCACGATGCTAGAAATCGGTCCGAGATCTCGGACATAATTCTCGTACAAAGGTCTCGTATCTCGGATGATTCTATAACGTCAAATGAACCAATAGCAATCAACTTAGTCTAGCAAGACCGCTCGAGCAGGATAGACGTGCGTTTGCCCTATTTCATTTTTTAAGATATATTTTATTATAAACCTGCAAAATTATATCTCAATGATAATAAAATTATAATGGCATCCTCCAAAATTAGAAAATGTATAGCAATCGTTCTGATTGCTGAAATTGCAGAAAAACAACACATAAAAAAATGGAATAAAAAAAAAACGACGATCCATTTGGACACGTAAATGGATACTTGAAAGAAATCGTTCATTGAGAGGTATAATTTACAACTTAGCACATAAAGAATTAAGAATTGAAGACCAAGAATATTTTCGAAGATTCTTCAGAATGCGGATTGACTTATTCGATAAACTTGTAAAAATAGTAACACCTTATATACAACGTCAAGATACTAACATGAGAGAGTGTATATCACCTAAGGAACGATTATCTCTCACCCTAAGGTTTTTAGCTACTGGCGAAAGTTACAGAAGTTTGGAATATGCGACAAGGATTCCAGCATGTACGATTTCTCGTATAATACCAGAAACATGTCGTGTTATATATGAATGTCTTCGAGAAGATTACTTAAAGGTAAATGGGATGTTATTGTTAATAAATCTTACAGACAAACATTACTGGCTTTGAGATAAATTGGCCAGTAATACTTTTGATAACAAAATAATATATAACAACATTAACTTAGTATACTTTGCATATTATCTTATCAATGAATAATTCATTTAATGCTTTTACAGACACCAAATACAACTGTGGAATGGGAACAAATTGCAGATGATTATCAACGCTTATGGAATGTTCCTAATTGTATTGGTTCCATGGATGGGCGGCATATAGAATTTAGAGCACCTTCAAAGGATGGATCATTATTTTATAATTACAAGGGCAGTAATAGCATTGTTCTCTTAGCACTAGTCAACGCGAAATATCAATTCACATATGTGAATGTGGGAGTTAACGGTAGAGTAAGTGATGGAGGAGTGTTCCGTGATAGTGACTTTGCAAAATTGTTAAATAATGCACAAAATCCATTGAATGTGCCACAAGATAAGTCATTACCTGGCATGAACGAACCTGTTCCATATGTCGTATTAGCTGATGCTGCTTTTCCGTTACAAAATCATATATTAAAACCATATCCATCACGAAATTTGTCTCGTGACGAACGGATATGTAATTATAGAATTAGCAGAGGTAGAAGAGTTGTTGAAAATGTGTTCGGCATATTGGCAAATAAATTTCGAGTTCTTTTAACACAAATACATCTACCTGTTGAAACCATCCAAAATATAACACTTGCATGTTGTGCGTTACACAACTATCTTATTAAACAAAATGCTGCTTATTTGTATACTGATATAAATATTGAAAATATAGACGAACATACTACAAGACCTGCTGAATGGAGAAACAATATACAATTACGCAACTTAGACATTATAAATATAAGACCAAATATGAATGCAATTGGTATTCGCAATATGTTTAAAAAATACTTTAATACTGTTGGTAAGGTTGAATGGCAGGAACATGTAATATAATCTTTTTAAATATAGAATTATATTTTAATTTGTAACACAATATTCTTTTGCAACATTGTAATAAAAAGTTTTATTGTAAGAAATATTTATATATGAATTATAATATTACTTTACAGTTATTGTTCTGTACGTATGTTATTTAAAATAAAATATATTTTATAAAATATAAGGAACACAAAAGTAATATACACACATGTATAACATAAAAATATGTTAATTTAAAAAATATTTTTTTATATTATCTTATATTTTTATATTTATATTCTTATATTTTAAACAGGTACGTTTGTTACCGTTAATAAAACAATCTCATTTTTTTAACATAAAGTATCCATAACGTAGTATATACAAAGTAGCAGTAACATAGTTATGTTACAAAATAAACTATTATCTGTCATGAGAGAGAGAGAGAGAGAGAGAATGAATCTATTCCATACATCATATTGGCTGATACTGTTTTTTTATTACAAAATTATATCTGTCAGAAAATTACTGATATTTCGTTACTGATAATGAAATGTTACTGATATTTCGTATTTACTAGCAACATAAAGACATCTTACTTATTTCGTCTTTTATCACATTATTTTTTTATCATTTATGTTTGTTACTATCTACGTTTGGCTTAGTGTCGAGACACTATCCGTGTTTCCTGAAGAGAGCATCTCTTTTTGAATATAAAATATAGAAAACAAAAGTAATATGCAAACAATGAGAGAACATTTGAATATGAAAATTATACATATACGCGCGCGCGCATATATATGTAAACATAGAAACATAGGAACGTAGGAATACTTATTAAATATTCATGTCATCTATTAGTGTAATAATGTTTCTTTGTAAGTAGTTCAATGTTTTTGGATCTTTAATTTTACGTAACTTACTTTCTAAATACAATATCCAGTATTTTAATTCATTTGCAGTATCATCACTTTTTGATATACTTTGGATAGCACTTGTCGCTGCTGTCCAAAATTCAGTTTTTGATGAATCATTACTTAACATTTCAAATTTCCTTTTTCTATGTTTTGACGTTACACTTTGTGATTTCATTGAATTAGTACTACATGATGGGATTGGCTGAAGATTTGACTCAGTATTCTCTAGATGAAACAAATTATGAAATAAAAATCAAAATATTGCATCAAAAAATTAAATCATTAGATAAAATACAGGGTGTCCCAATCTTTTTTGCCAATCACTTTTGTGTAGATAGAGCGGAGTAAACTGAGTTGAAACGTCCTCTACCATTGTACAATTTTCGCAATAGTTAACAACATATTAATTACTAAAAATTGCAAAATATTGGTCTTGAATAATTTTTTACTCAATACTATCAATTTTACAGAAAAACTGCAAAAGACAAAAATTATTTATGTTCTTCTCATACAGTTTTGAGAATTTTTTCAGAATTTTTTATCAACTTTTTAGTACTGCATTTTCTTATTTTTATCAACATGAGAAAATACGGTATTAAAAAATTCTGAAAAAATTCTCAGAACTTTATGAGAAGAAAATAAATAATTTTTGTCTCTTGCAGTTTTTCTGTAAAGTTGATAGTATTTGAGTAAAAAATTATTCAAAACCAATATTTTGCAATTTTTAGTAATTAATATCTTGTTAACTATTGCGAAAATTGCAAAATGGTAGAGGATTTTACGACTCAGTTTAATCCGCTCTATCTACACAAAAAAGGTCAGGATACCCTGTATATTAAGTGATTTAAAATATAAGAAAAAAAATGTAAAAAGTAGCAATATAAAATTTTATTACCTTTATTGGAATCTTGTGCTTTTAAAATATCAACAACATCTACAAATTGTATATCTTCGTTGTCACTTTCTTCTTGTAAAGTACTGCTTTCTAAACAGCTACGTTGTTGACTAGACACCTAAATTATCATAATTTAATAGTTACTTATATTTTATAATTATGTAATTTATAATTGGCAAAAATATTTTACTTAATCTACTTACTGTTATAGAAGATTCTCCTTTTCTTTGAGCAATATGTGGATCAAGAAATTTCATATCGTCAAATAACCACCATGTGGGTTTATAAATATCATTAGTTGACATACCACTTGATTTTGATGCTTTTATTTTGCTGATGTAATCTAAATACTGCGACCTTAAATTATTAATTTTCTTTTTAGCAGCTTCTACAGTTAAAGGTTGTTTTGTTATTTCTTGGTATTGTTGACATATTTCTTGATAAGCGATCTCTCTTTTGGTTCGGTTATGGTATTCAGCTGATTTAACAACATACAATGAAGGATGTTGTTTATATAATAATAAGAGTGTTTTTATGTTGTCTTTATTGTCCATATTCATTACAAAATTATGTTTAGCCGAATAAATGCGTTCGCCCGGCCTACTACTGCCTGGAAATATATCAGTTAACCTTACATACAATTAAACGTAATGCATTTTCCAAGTAGAAAATTTATGATGCAAATGTTAATAATTAATCTTGTTATTTAAATGTATTAAATATTTTTACTGTGTACTTACAAAATATTCGTTAAATATTTTTGTCGAATGAATAGTAATACTTGATTACGAGTATGGTCAACGCGATGCTGCAAATGCTTTGAAGCGTTTTTTAATTGGTTAGTTTGTCTGTTAGTTAGTCTTTTTCAAACTGCGCGCCGAATTGTATTTCCGAAAAAGACTACAATATGATATATATGCAAGTACATATACATATAATATATATTAGTAATTCAAGATTTGAATTATTAAAATTTAGCAACGAAGATCCAGCTTCGACCGTAATAGGCTTCTGATATTTGATTGTTTTCTCACATGCGGTCTAAATAATAATTATACTGTTTAGAAGATCTTTGTCATAAATTGTGTGCCAGAATTTCAAATAAAATTTATAATTTTATGTACCATATCATACAAGAACTATTTTAAGAATAAAAAATTATATGAATATATCAAATATATCACATTAAAGATACGTACTATATAAAATTATAAATAGAATTCTGCTTTGAAATATTTGCATAAATCCTAGCAGGTATTATCACGAAATGAAGCAAAAGATACTAATATATACTCAAGTTAAAAAATTGAAAATTCTCATATATTTTCTTATTATTAATAGTATAATAACGTGATACAAACAAATATTGCTAATAAAATTTTAAGGAAATATAAATTAATACACATTAACACAAAGTGAAGGAAGTACACACATAATACGTTGATACAATGTTGGCACACAATATTATCTACAATTACAAATGAAAGTAATATTGTGAAATAAATAAATAAATAAACAAATATATATATATACATATATATAATACACA